TATGCCTTTCTAGTCCATGCTTATAATGTTACATGTTTGTTTCTGTCTTAGTCACCTAGTGCTGCTATAATAGAAATATCCCAAGTGGATGACTTTAGCAAACAAATTTATTCTCTCACAATTCAGGAGGCTAGCCGTCCAAATTCACAGTGCCAGTTCTAGAGGAAGGTTTCCTCTCATTGTCAGCTTTGGGGAAAGGTCTTTGTAGGCCCAACATTCAGTGTCTGTAGGCCCAACATTCTTTGAAGAGTTCCATGTGATTTGGCATCAAACTTCCCCTGGATCTAGGAGCTTTTCAGTGCAGAAATGCCAGACTCAAAGGATACACTCCACTTCTGGTCCTTTTTTCTTGGTATGACTAGGTCCTTCTTTTTCTGCTCACTTTTCTCTTCTTTTACCTTTGTAAGATGAAAGATCGTGCAGGCCATACCCCTGGTAAACTCCCTTACGTAAGATCAGGGCTGTGATGGAACTGTTGAGTCGGTTCTGACTCCTAGGACCCTGGTATAGGGTTTCCAAGGATTGACTGGTGAGCTTGAACTGCCAGCCTTGTGGTTCAAAGTGACTGTGCAGTCCAGTGCATTAACCTGCAGAGCCACAACCAGGATTTACAGGTACTGATAACCACCTTTAGTCTTCTTAATTGCTTTATCACATCAGATCACATGGGGTTTTATCACATAACTGTCACATTTCATCATTACATAACTGCCAAACCACTGAAAATCATGACCCAACCAAGTTAACATATATTTTGGGGGCACAAAGTTCAATCTATGATAGTGTCCGTAGAATGGTGGTGGTGGTTATGTGCTGTGGAGTCGGTTCTGACTCATAGCGACCCTGTCTGTATAGGGTTTCTGAGGCTGTAAATCTTTATGGGAGCAGGAAGCCTCATCTTTCTCCCACAGAACTGCTGGTAGTTTCCAACTTCTGACCATGAGGTTAGCAGCCCAAGTCATAACCACTATGCTACCAGAGCTCCTTGTCTATGGGATATATGGTATCATTTCATGTGTTTTAAGTTTTGCATGACTGTATTGCTGCCCATTTAATCCTGCTCTTGAGTCAGCATTGTTTTTGTAAGTCTTTGTTTATTCTTTTCAACTAATATATAGCGTTACATCATTTGTATATACCACAATGTATTTATTCATTTCCCTATTAATAGACATTGAAGTTGTTTCTAACTCTATATCCATTGCTGTCAATTTGCTTTATAAGGTAGAGTAGAGAACTATATTCATAGGGTTTCTGAGACTGTAAGTCTTTATGGAATCAAATTGCCTCATTTTTCTCCTGCAGAGCTGCTTGTGGATTTAATTGCTAAACTTTTCATTAGCAGCCCAACACCTAACTTACTATGCTACCAGGGATCCTGATAAACACAAGTTTTTAGTATTTATGAGGTCCTAGTTATTTATTCTGTCCTTTGCTGTTTGTGGTTTTATTATTGTGTTTGTTGTTGTTAAGTGCCATCAAGTCAGTTCCAACTGATAGCAACTCTCTATAGGGTTTCCAAGGAGTGGCTGGTGAGTTTCAGCTGCCAACCTTGTGATTCAAATTGACCTTGTGGTCCAGTGCTTTATCCCACAGTGACATACCAGGACTCCAATTATTGTTTTAGATAACCTTTTTTTTTTTTAAACTAGGCCTGTGTTGTCCCTGCTTGTTCTAATAATTTATGGTTTTAGTTTGCATATTAAGTCTTTAGTCCATTTTGAATTTTTTTTGGTGTGTGTGTGGTGTGAGACAGGGGTCCTGTTTCATCTTTCTGCATGTAGAAATCCAATTTTCCAAGCACCACTTATTGAAGAGATTCTTTTTCACCATTGAATGTTCTTAGAACCCTTGTCAAAAATCAGTTGATTATAAATTATAGTTGTGTGGATTTATTTTGAATTCTTAATTTTATTCCATTGGTCTATATGTCCATTGTTGTACCAGTAGCAGACTGTTTTGATTACTGGATCTGTGTAGTGTATTTTAAAATCAGAATGTGTAAGTCCTCCTCCTTTGTTCTCTTTCAGTGTTGTTTTAGCTATTTGGAAACTTTTTTGCCTTTTGATATAAAGTTGAGAATTGGTTTTTCTATTTCTGTCAAAAAGGCTGTTGGAATTTTGGTTTGGATTGTGTTGAATCTGTAGATTGCTATGGGGGGTATCTAGTGCTGCTATAACAGAAATACCACAAGTGGATAACTTTAACACACAAAAATGTATTCTCTCACAGTTTGAGAGGCTTGAAGTCTGAATTCAGAGCATCAGCTTGTCTCCTGCTTCAGCATTCCTGTGTCTTGGCATCAATCTTGCTCTGGCTCCAGGGACTCTGGATCTAAAGGACACACTCTATTCCTGACTCTACTTTCCTGATAGTAGTAGTAGGGGCCTCCTTTACTCAC